GCTTTTGAGTTTGTCTTGGACAGCTTCTGCTTCAGCTCAGAAAGCAGAGCTTGATTCTCCTGGTTGCTGCAGTAGCAACAGCTAGGGTGCTTGTCAACTTTTATCTTATTAATCTTTTCTTATACTAATCATTGTATTAATTTTAATTTACCTACTTTTGATACAGCACCCGGTGGCTCTTCATCATTTGCTTTTGTTGCTGGTCTTTCAAACACTGGGGGCGAGGACTTGGATGAAACACCTTCCGTGGTTGTTGTTGCTGCCTATGGTGGGACTATTTTGGAAGAGGGACAACAACCTAATTTTCAACTATTCAAGGAGAAAGATCTCTCAAAAACAGTTATCCAGTTCAAAAGACATGTCTTGAATCATGAGAAGACTAAAGAGTTATTAAAATTTAGAATTTGTGCACATTGGAACATGGATATGTGGTGCTACAGGGGCTTCTCAACCGACATACTAAACTTGCACCTTCGGATGACCATCCTATTAATGACCTATGGATACCGTGTCTGTCGTGTATCCACCAGTTGAACAAGTAAGCTTGAGAGATATCATCGCAAGCACCAATGTCACCTTATCTTGGGACAACCGAATCTCCATAGTTGTTCAAGTGGCGAGGGGAACTGGCTTTTTTGCATAGTGTGCCAATGGGATTTATACCATGTTTTAAGGATGCTAATGTCCTCCTCGATCGGGTATTTAAATCAAATTTTAAAATCTCAATATATATATATATATATATATATATATTAGGGTTACCCTTAATTATATTAACTAACTGTGTTTTGTTTATTTTTGCAGGATTTTAATATGAAACTGTCAGGTTTTGGCTTGAAAAGTTTGGGGCACAAATCAAAGAATATACTCTCACAAAAGCTGTATTTACCTCCCGAGTATCCTGGTAATTAAGAAACTTTTTTTCTTCTTCAAATTAATAGCCATAGTTGAATTTTAATCTCATTAACTTAAACTAAATGAAGCAGTAGTAAGAATAGCATATCACTGGTCTCATGAGGGAGATGTGTTTTCTTTTGGAGTTGTGCTGCTAAAAATGACGAAAGGCAACAAGCTAGATAACAGTGCATATTTAAATGTGACTAGGGTTACTTTGCAGTATCTCGAGGACAATAAAAGCGATCCTAAAAAGTTGGTAAATACCTACTTTGTTGTATATATTATTTCTAATTAATCTAGTTAAATAAATATAAAGAATTATCAATACACTGCATTGTTGGAAATGATTTTCAGAAATCAAAGTTAGAGAAGTTGATAGATGAGGAAATCAAACATGAGTATACGCACCGGACAAAGCTTTGCAGATGACAATGATTATTAAAAGGTGCCTCGCAGTTAACCCTAAGGAGCGGCCCACCAGCTCTGAAATTTTAAAAGAATTTGATTAAGAAAAATATCTTTGACTTTGAGTGGGTTGACTATTCAATTTACTACTTTTTGAATTTATCGACACTTATATATGAATTAATTAAAATATTTTGGACAAATAAAATGTGTTGCTATTGTTGTATAGATGTTATTCGAGCTTTTAAATTACCTAGGCCCCGCTAGATTAACAAACTTATGCATATTCTCTTGTTTATTTCTTTTAAATTGTTATTTCTTCTACATTGGCAACACTAATAAAAAAACAAAGACTAGTTGGTGCTGTCTAGCGGTTTCTTCCTTTTGATTTGAATTCATTAATTTTTTCAATTTGTGATGTCCAAGTATCCATTAATTAATGTTGTCAAGTGGTTTCTTCTTTTTGCTTTGAATCAATTTTTTGACTTTCAATTTGTGATGTCCAAGTATACAAGAGGATTCGTAAACATGGTTACATTTCAACAAAAAACCATTCTCACTAAGCAATCTCGTGGATGAATCGACCATAGCTTTTTATTTATTTTGCCTTTTGTTTTCTTAGGAAAAGAAGAAACCCAGAGGTTTAACCTTGAACTTGAACAACCATTCTTCTGTTCTGTAAGCAATCTTTAGGCTAGGAATAAGCTCCTATAGTTCAAAAATCAGTTTGTAAGGATTGCATATAAAAATAATAATTTCAAAACAGAGCAGGTTGAAGAAAAATGAGTGAAATAGAACCACCAATTTCTACCAATCACCCATGTAATTGTTGGAAAAATTTTATACAAGTCGTCAAAGCCTCAGTAGTTTTTTTTGGGTCAAATGAATGAACACGTCATTACCATATAGTGTTACATAAAAGCTCAATACAAAAGTCAAAAAAATAAAACAAGGGCTCAACCAAACAAAATAAAAGCCCAATCCAAATATAAAACAGGCCCAAAACAAAAAAAAAACCCCAAAATACAAAAACCCTAGAAACACCAAGCAGCCACCGCCACCTAATCTTCTGCCGCCGCCGCACCCAGAAGAACAAGAAGGTTTAGGGGAGCCAACAAAAGGGATTGGTAGAGCGTGGGGTTGGGGAAGCAAGCCACCAACATGCATCATGCTCAAGCGATCCAGGAGCAGGTATTGGTCCAAATGGACCATTAAACTACAAAGCCCACACCTCCATAACCTGATCTCAAATCTGAGGATGGTTTGTAGGGGGAGAAACAGCAGCAGCAAACAAGTAGACAACCAAGAAAATTCTAGGGAAAGAGTAGGATTTTAGGGTTTGAGTTTTCCTGGGAGGGGGAGAGAAATGGACTGATGGGGGTGAGTGTATGAACAGGAAAAAGGGTGAGGGAGGTGAAATGGCTGAAGAGTAGTGAGGGAGGAGATCTGGAGGAGATCTGGGCCAATACCTAACAGTTTTAAAGTTCTTTCAAACATAAATTGACGAAGATACTAAAAAATCCATTAACTTTTCGCGTTGATTCTCAAGTAGTAGTGTTCCCTTGTTAAAAGCAGGTTACTGGTTTGAACATTGTAGCATATTTTCAATCTGAATACCAAGTACCAGAACCTCTGGCACAAGACTGATCCTGAACTACCAGATTCTTGATACAAACGGAAGTTCTAAATCCAATTGCGCAAATAGGCACAATGACAAAGAATGATAAATTGATGAACAAAAAGAAGGGAGTCTTTATCCTTTTTTCCATGAATGAATTTAAGAGACCACTTTGCTTTTGATTGAATCAATTGACCCCCCGTGAGCCCTTGGACTGATGAAGATTCAACCTACTCTTAGCCTCTTGTAACAATGTGCGCAGTGTGTCTTCTTTGGACAAATAACGTCCACTGGTTTCCCATACAAGCATCGGGACCACCCCAGCCTGGTAAAGTTCTTCCCAGTCTGGTACATGAAGTGGAATGTTGCACAGAAATCTGTCCAGCTCTTTATATACGGTCATAAAAGATAGCTTGGATGCCCACGTAAGCGCTGCAAGCACCTCAGCTTGGGCAAGCTCTTCGCTGTCCGGTACATGCAGTGCAATGTAGCAGATGAGAGCCAACGCCTGTAAAACTTTCTTGTCATACAAAATCTGGATTAAGTGTTTAACACCTCCAGCACTTATTATTGCCTTGGAATGTTCAATGCGAAAATAGTTGTCTGTACAAGCTAATTTTGTGAGGGCAATGCAAGTCTCCTCGGTAACATTAAATTCTCTTCCATTGAGAAGCTGCACCAATGGGCCAATCATTCTTGTCTCTATTGACCCAAATGTCCTTGCCAAATTCTCAATAGCATGGATGCATGAGATTTGGAAGTATGAGTTTTCTGTCTTCTCGGTGATCTTCAGTAATAATTGATCAACAACATATTTCCAAGTGGGGGAATTAGGACTCAAGTCACATCTTATTCTCAAATCAGCATCTTTCTCTGCCACTTCCTTGATCGCCATTAATGCATTGACAGAATATAATTGAGCATCTTCACAACCTTTTTCGAGGAGTACTGCAAAACTATATAGTGCTGTTGAATCTGCGAGGATACGGCAAATGCCTGAGTTCTCCTGGGCTAGTCTGAAAAGGGCTTTGGCTGCCATCGCTTTTATTTTGGCTATGGTGTCAGGGTCTTCATTGGCATTGGCATTGTCATTGCTATGGGTTTTGCTGCTATGCACTCCAACAGTTTCGAATGCAAGATGGCCGACAAGCAAGCGGACAACATCGTGCTCTGCAAAAGCATCTTGCCATTTGGGGTTTCTTTCTGCGATCAGTGACACCGCGAAGGCCACCTTAGCCTGAACTTTCGTGAAACCTTCACTGAGGATTTTCGCAAACACTTTACATACATCGACGCTTTTCCCGGCACATTCCGAGGAATATACCACAACCCCGAGCGCTGCGGCAGCGCTCTCTTTGGCTTCCATTGGACCCTCCTCCATCAATTTCAACAAGGCTTCGACTCCACATTCCCGGATGATCAACTTGCCGTACACGTCTAGGTCCTTGGCTATCGAAACGAGTGAAGCTGCAGCACTAGATCGAGCTTGGTAGGATTCAGCCGGGTCATGAAGAATTGCAATCTCTTCCCAAACGAGATACAGCATGGGCTCGTTTGCTGTTATTGGGGGCAGATTCAGTCCAAATCTCCCGTTCGTCTTGTTCTTACGAAAACGGATCAGCCAAGACATTTCGCTGATTGAAGCGTCAAGAAGCTGCGACGTTTTACGTAACCAAACAACGGGGATGAGGGTGGGGAAACGCTTCTTGATGATCTTGATGATGATCCATTTGGGACAGTGGTGCTTGAGCAGCAGGAACAGACACCTATCGAGGCTTTGTTCGACGCTGCCGATAATCGCACGTACGGGGCGATCGTAGGTGCCGAGGCCAATGCTGCTGAGTTGGCGGAGAAGCCCCACCATCTCTTCATCCTTGGATTTGAGCTCGGGGATGAAGCTCTTGTCCGTGGATCTCTCCACGGCCCTGTCCAAAGCCTTTGCGACTTGGTCAGCGAGTTGGATGGCCCTGCCCAATGTTTGCTTCACCATCTCTGCTCTGCTCTGCAATTTCAAATAGGAAGTTTTGTAGGTTCTCTTCTCAGTCAGATTATCAGTCCACTATCTCCATAACAACCCAATGATTTCTCATTTTCTCAACGAGAAAGAGAGAGAGAGCGAGAAGAAAACTAATTTTAAATCAAACGGCCATTTTGTTCTTCGCCCATTGGCATTGTCATTGCTATGGGTTTTGCTGCTATGCACTCCAACAGTTTCGAATGCAAGATGGCCGACAAGCAAGCGGACAACATCGTGCTCTGCAAAAGCATCTTGCCATTTGGGGTTTCTTTCTGCGATCAGTGACACCGCGAAGGCCACCTTAGCCTGAACTTTCGTGAAACCTTCACTGAGGATTTTCGCAAACACTTTACATACATCGACGCTTTTCCCGGCACATTCCGAGGAATATACCACAACCCCGAGCGCTGCGGCAGCGATCTGTTTGGCTTCCATTGGACCCTCCTCCATCAATTTCAACAAGGCTTCGACTCCACATTCCCGGATGATCAACTTGCCGTACACGTCTAGGTCCTTGGCTATCGAAACGAGTGAAGCTGCAGCACTAGATCGAGCTTGGTAGGATTCAGCCGGGTCATGAAGAATTGCAATCTCTTCCCAAACGAGATACAGCATGGGCTCGTTTGCTGTTATTGGGGGCAGATTCAGTCCAAATCTCCCGTTCGTCTTGTTCTTACGAAAACGGATCAGCCAAGACATTTCGCTGATTGAAGCGTCAAGAAGCTGCGACGTTTTACGTAACCAAACAACGGGGATGAGGGTGGGGAAACGCTTCTTGATGATCTTGATGATGATCCATTTGGGACAGTGGTGCTTGAGCAGCAGGAACAGACACCTATCGAGGCTTTGTTCGACGCTGCCGATAATCGCACGTACGGGGCGATCGTAGGTGCCGAGGCCGATGCTGCTGAGTTGGCGGAGAAGCCCCACCATCTCTTCATCCTTGGATTTGAGCTCGGGGATGAAGCTCTTGTCCGTGGATCTCACCACGGCCCTGTCCAAAGCCTTTGCGACTTGGTCAGCGAGTTGGATGGCCCTGCCCAATGTTTGCTTCACCATCTCTGCTCTGCTCTGCAATTTCAAATAGGAAGTTTTGTAGGTTCTCTTCTCAGTCAGATTATCAGTCCACTATCTCCATAACAACCCAATGATTTCTCATTTTCTCAACGAGAAAGAGAGAGAGAGCGAGAAGAAAACTAATTTTAAATCAAACGGCCATTTTGTTCTTCGCCGCAAAAAAAGCCAAAAACGGTTTTAGAAACTGACCCGCTCTATCGCGCGTCATTTGGTACTTTAGGAGCGCTTTTATTGGCTTGGCAATATACAATACAATACAAGCGTTTTTATGATTTGAACAAAAAAAAATACAAGCGTTTTAATGTTTAAAGCTGTTTTTCTTTTTGATCGAATATGTTAAAATCTATTAAACAATTTTTGTGTAGGTAGGTAGTATTCTGTTCTGCCTCAATACTTGGGTCGTTTTTTCAGCTGAACCGACAATTAGAAACTAAAGGGCAGAAGCAATCGTATAGGTTTCATTTGCTTCAAACCACATCTTTTCGTATCATTGAATGTACCTCTGGTAGCCTTTTGTATTAAAATATAATTATATATATGTAAACCTATATATTAGATTGGGTTTTTTTTTTTTTTTTCAATCTCTTATATGTAGGTAAGTTCCATGCTTTTTTTTTGGGAAAAAATCTAAAATGGTTTACCTTAAGAATCTGACTGATTATTTTACAAAATGTACTTGTAGGATTATATTGCAATAATGAGTCTTAATATGTAAATGAAATACTCTTCTTGCACGCATTGTGTTTTCAAGATTTAGATTTTCTTTGTTGGTCCCTCATATATACAAGTTTCAAGGATCATCATGTATTTGGATAATTGAAAACAATATACAAATTTTTGAAAAGACATCAGAGTTATGCAAACAACATTGCATCTCAGGAAGCCAAATGATCATGCAAGTCTTCAGCCATCACGAATGAATAATTGATTATGCAGATTAAATTAGTACATATAGAGTTGGATAAGCAGCAATACAAGCTAAATCAAATATTTCTATGACAGTGGGAAGACTGAATCTCATGAAACAAACCTTAATATGACTGGCATTTGTCATAGGAAAGTCATTGATCCCTGATGGACACAAGAAAGACTACAAAAACAGATAAGGAAAAATTTGTCAGATGAGGATATTTTTCTTCTCTTTCTAGTCGAATTTCTTTTTCGGTTTCCCAAGGTATCCCCAGTCGTGGCCCATGCCTAATCCTCCGAGGTACTATCGGGTGCATATGCGGGGACCTCTCCCAAGAAAGTTTTCTGCATCCACAAGGGCTCGAACCCGAGACCACTTGCTTAAGCGACCAGAGCCCCTTTCACTCTGACCAACCCTCATTGGTCATGAATCTCTATTTGCCTAGTCTAGACATTCCCTTTTGTTGTTTGTCTCTTTTATTCATTTTGTGTTCGTTCATTGCGGAAAAATTATAAATAAATAAAATAAAAATAAAAACTTTTTAGACGGAAAAAGAAGAAGGAAAAAAGCTACAACACATAGAATAAGAATAAAATAAAAATATACATATGTTGATTTAAGCTTATTAAACATTAGTGTTAATTGTCCTCCGAGCATATTAACCAACCGTAAAGTCATCCTTTGAGAATTAAAAAGATGATTTAGCACGCTGAAGCTTATTAAACCTTAGTATTAATTTCGACAATAATAACCAACCGTAAAATCGTTTTATATTTTATTAATTCCAATTCGTATTGAATGTTTATATTGTAGCAATACAATTTAATTTCATGTGACCAAAGTCACTATCATCTTTTGAGGGGTGTCTCAGTCTAATATTTACACACCCTTGAACAATACTTTGGTTAATAATACTATTGCACCGTTTGTGTATCAAAAATAAAACTAAGATAGAGGTTGGGTGAGAGTCATACATTACACAAAAGACTTATCCTCACATCTGCCACTGCATTGGCCTTCAAATCTCTACCACCAATCTATAATCCAGAACCAACCAAAAAAGATCCCATTTTTCACAAATTTTCTCAATCTTCACTACGACCCCATAAAACATCACACTTGCTTCTCTTTATCTCTTCTTGCCTATTCTTCTTCTTCTTCTGCAGCATTAACACAACAACCATGGCTGCAGCTGTAACTGCTGCTGTCTCATTCCCATCCTCCAAGTCCTCCTCTCTTCCCAGCAGGACCTCTATAATCTCACCTGATAGAATCACCCTCAAGAAGGTAAAACTTTCAGTCCTAGTAATTAATTATTTTGATTTACATTTTCACTTTCATGGGGTTTAATTTGATTTCTTGGGTTTTTTTTAAGGACATGGGTTGTTGGTTTTTCAGGTTCCTTTGTACTACAGAGATGCCTCTGCTAGTGGGAGAGTGGTTTCCATCAGAGCCCAGGTCACCACCACTGAGGCTGCTCCTCCTGCCAAGGTTGTGAAGGAATCCAAGAAGCAAGATGAAGGTGTGGTTGTTAACAAATACAAGCCCAAAAATCCCTACACTGCCAGAGTCCTTCTCAACACTAAGATCACTGGTGATGATGCTCCTGGAGAAACCTGGCACATGGTCTTCAGCACTGAGGGTATGATCAAGTCTTTATAATCCCTTCTTTTTTCTTTAATCCTTCTTGTGGTAATTATTGGTTCATATATTAAAATATTGAACTCATTCAGCTTACTGCTTTGTTGGTTGCTTGTAGGAGAGATTCCCTACAGAGAAGGGCAGTCCGTTGGAGTAATTCCAGATGGTATTGACAAGAATGGGAAGCCTCACAAGCTAAGGTTGTACTCAATTGCCAGTAGTGCCCTTGGTGACTTTGGAGACTCCAAAACTGTGAGTATTTATACTGTACCAATTACATGAACAACCAATTGGATTTTTTTTTTTGCTCAGGTTGATTGCCAATTTGCTATGAATCTGCTGGCATTTAAACATACAATGTTGCAATTTTAGGCAATTCGTAAACATGCTCCATTGCTATCCAATTTGTCATTTGTTAATTAAGATATAATTGGTGGTGTGGTTTGATTGCCTCCAACCAGGTTTCTCTGTGTGTGAAACGGCTTGTGTACACCAATGACCAAGGAGAAATTGTTAAAGGAGTGTGTTCAAACTTTTTGTGTAAGGACACATACCTCTTAGTTCTATAAAATTATTTCATTGAGGCTTTTTGATTGAGAATAAAAACTTAGGCTGTATGCTGTTTCGTGTCTAATGAGAAACGATTTATTTGTGGTAGTAAATTAGTATTCTAGTATAAATAGGCAGGCCAGTGCATGTTGGTATAAGTTTTCTCTATTTCAGGTGACTTGAAGCCAGGGAGTGAAGTCACGGTCACAGGACCAGTTGGAAAAGAAATGCTTATGCCAAAAGATCCTAATGCGACCATCGTCATGGTATAAATACTTACCATATTTTATATTCAGGAAGCAAACTGGATAATCGAATGTTTAACCCTCTGTGAATAGTACCGGTTTACAGAATTTCTTTGCTGATACAGCTTGCAACTGGAACTGGAATTGCTCCTTTCAGATCATTCTTGTGGAAAATGTTTTTTGAGAAGCATGAAGACTACAAGGTAAACATTAGTACTTCTTGGTTTTTTCTTCAGACACTTGTATGGCATGAAATAATCAGCTCACAACATGAATACAACGAAAAACCCATATCAATCTTAAAAAGAAGATAACAATGTGGTACTTTTACAGAGGCTTTTCTCAATGAAAGCCCTCATAAAATAATCTCCTCAAGCGCCTATATGGCTGGTGAATCCTTATTTCTTCCTTGATTAGCTCTTCGTCTAAAGAAAGATCAAATTTTGACATGACATGCAGTTCAATGGTTTGGCATGGCTCTTCTTGGGTGTTCCCACAGGTAGCTCACTGCTTTACAAGGAGGTGAGCATGTTCAAAGTTCCTTCACTTCACTTATCAGTCACTTCATTTATCTTTCTCAAGAATCATATGATTTAAACAACTTGAATTCATAAGAGATTATGGTGGAACACAGGAATTTGAGAAAATGAAAGAGAAGGCCCCAGAAAACTTCAGGCTTGACTTCGCTGTCAGCAGAGAGCAAACCAATGAGAAGGGCGAGAAGATGTACATTCAAACAAGAATGGCTCAGTATGCAGAAGAGCTATGGGAGTTGCTCAAGAAAGACAACACCTACATCTACATGTGTGGTCTCAAGGGAATGGAGAAGGGAATTGATGACATCATGGTGTCATTGGCTGCTAAAGATGGTAACAAGATAGAATAAAATTGCTGAGACTTTCATGGAAGATCTCTATATCATGTGCCCTCCAAGGACCAATGTGTTTGTGTTTGATATATTTTGCAGGCATTGACTGGACAGACTACAAGAAGAAGTTGAAGAAAGCAGAGCAATGGAATGTGGAAGTCTACTAATTTCTGGTCACTTTGTACAAATATCTCTCTCTCTCTCCTTCTTTACTTAAAAGTTTAAACAGCAATTCTTGAATGATTTCCACTGCAGTGTGTAGATAGGTAAAGTCCTTGCAAATTTTCTGTTTTTTTTTTCTTTTTTGCCATATGAATGAAGCTGTTGTATTATACTATAATTATGGCCCCCAAGAATTTTATTTCTGAGGGTCGAATTTTACACTCTAGTGGAAGCCTGTTTCAACTTTTACACTCTAAATTGCGTTACTGATCAGAAATTAGAGTAAGGCAAGAAAATAAAATTGCCTTCCTTATTTTACTAACAGTTAGGAAAATTCATATGATTGCTATGATCTCGTCCTTTGCTTCACACTGTCGGCCATGGTATTTCATAACAGTTAGGAAATAGTCACGCCAATGGCCTTGTGGTTACGTCTTGGTCTCTTATTTGACACCATAACAAAACAAAAAAAACAAGAAGGTTTGTAACATGAATTTTTTTTATTTTTCATAAATCAAACTTATCACGCATAGCCTAATCCAAGTTATTATAATTGTAATATGAATTTTGCTAAGATCAATCCGCTGCATTTAGAGTTTTTACAAAATCGCCAATGCATACTTGTGGTATCCTCCAAATACATTGATTGATAAATAAGTTTTTAGGATTCTAATTGCCCAATCCCAATTCTAATTGGATTTGTGTGGATTGCGTATATCCAACCAAATTTCATTCCTATTCTAACACGAGGATTTGCAGCCAAAGCTAACCTTTAAGAAGGAGTAACAATTAGTTAACGTAATAAAAAATTCATATCAAATTTGTTTAACGCGTATTTTGTTATTTGATTTATTTCATAATAATAGTTTCAGGAAAAAATACAAAAAAATTGTAGGAGCAGGGTTTCTTAGAATGCACCCAAAGAAGAGCAGATCCGAGCTCTAAAAAGCGTAAAGTTAAAGGGAAAATCAAAAGCCCAAGGGAATTAGAATCGGGCCGGAGGCAGATTAGGGTTTTGTTTATATATTTTAATTAAACTATAATTCTCAAAGATTGTCTTTGCCTTCACTGTTCTCTCCTATATAATGACGAACACTCTCTCGCATAAATCAACATAAAAAAATTTAACCTTTTCTCTCTGTCGGGGAATTTCAACAACCATGGCGGAGGAGAGATCGACTGGGAAGGTCCGGTGGTTCAACGACACCAAGGGCTTTGGCTTCATCACCCCCGATATCGAAAGCGAAGATCTGTTCGTTCATCAGTCGTCCATCAGATCCGACGGCTTCCGCAGCGTGGCGGAGGGCGAGTCTGTCGAGTTCCAAATCGCCGTCGGCGAGGACGGCAAGACCAAAGCCATTGACGTCACTGGTCCTAACGGCGCGCCGTTGCAGGGTAACAGGAAGGAGAGCTTCGGCCGCTCCGGTGGTCGCGGTGGCGGTTCTGGATTTGGAGGTGGATGGAGAGGCGGAGATAGGCGGAATGGAGGCGGTGCCGGTGGCGCTTCGTGCTATAACTGCGGCGAGCCCGGCCACATGGCTAGGGATTGCAATCGCGGCGCTGGGGGCGGTGGCGGTGGCGGTAGCGGTGGTGGTTGCTTTTCTTGCGGTGGCTATGGCCACGTGGCGAGGGTCTGCCCTAATGGGACTGGCGGCAGTGTCGGTGGTGGCGGCGGCGGCGGCGGTAACTGCTACAAGTGCGGTGAGTTTGGGCACTTGGCGAGGGACTGTAGTTCTGGTGCCGTCGGTGGCGGCGGTGGTGGCGGTGCTGGTGCTTGTTATAGCTGTGGGGAATTTGGGCACATGGCGAGAGATTGCAGCACGGGGGGCCGCGGCGGCGGCGGTCGTGGCCGGGGCTATGGATTCAGTGCTGGATCAGGTGGCAATGGTTGTTATAACTGTGGGCAGGCTGGTCATTTTGCTAAGGAGTGCCCTACTGCTTGAAGAAAAATAAAATAAATTCTCTTCAGAAATCCTTTTATCTTTTTGTTAAATTTTAGTCTTTCTAGTATTTCTTTCTCGATACATATGAATGTTTTGGCAAAAAGGGTTTTGATTTTTCTGGTGGATGATAAGAGCCACTCTTTGTCAATCCCCAGTTCGGCTATAGAGTGAGTTAGTTGACTTTTTTATTATTATTATTAATCTATATTGTTATCAGTGACTCTCGGATAAGTTATCTAAATGAGCAGCTTTTGTTTTGAAGAGTGAATTTATGTTATCTACTGTCTCTATAATTGAATGCGCATCTGGTTGATGATCCTCAAGGAAAGTTGAATTAGATCCTCATTAATTGTGGCACTACATGCTCTTGATTTGTTTCTGAAGTGTGAATTTATGATATCTCCTATGCATTGATGCAGCTGGTTGATTATGTTGAATTATTTTTGTTGTAGAAGATGTTGAATAAGATGTCTGCATATGACTTTGAATGTAAGCCATAGATTTGTATACCAGTTTATCATCTTTTTGCAGCCTAGCTAGTGCCACTTGCTTTGCTCATTGTTGTTGATATTGCACTTTGTTTCAGTTTGCTCGTTATTTAATGCATCTTGTTGATATTGAGAGATGGAGGTCTTGTGGACTAAAGACTTTTAGGCATATCCATATGGTCCTCTACATCACCTTAGCTTAGTTTGGGTTTGTGAAAAACAATTTCAGGTGATTCAGTCATTAGGAATGTGGTTAAAAGATTAACCAATTGCTTGTGTGTTAGTAGTTAAAGGACTAGGATTCGTGATGCTCGTAATTGATGCATTGAGTAGCAAAAATTGATTTTGATCCTTATGTGCTCAAATATTTATAAACGATACTGATTTAATTTTTGTTGACTAATGAACTCTATGGGGTGACCTTCATCATAATGGATTGGAAACAACCCTTGAATTTGCTCCACAAGGGCCTCAGTTCTCAGTTACATTGTCTGTCCTAGTTTGACTTTAGATTATGTGCTAGCTTCGCTCTGCCTTGCTTACCCTGTTTTTCACTTTTTGGTTTTTACGTTTGACAAGCATTGAAATTGAAGTTGTAGAATACATTTAGAAGGATCTACACGTATTTAGCATTTGGATTTGATGAACAATGTGTTTTGTGATGCTATGTGTCTGTTGGAATTGGTGATTTTCTTTACAATGTGAAGCTTTTAGAACCCTTCCAAGAAAGCTTGGTTTCGGTTTGGTATGGCTCTAGCCAAGAAAGCTTTTTGAACCCTTCCATGTGAAGCTTGAGTCACGATCCTAAGCTCGGACTTGATGGCACTTGTCTTGTTAGGCTTGCGAGCAAGCACGTTCATTTGTGCTTTGTGTTTTTCTTCTGTAGAAGGGTTGATTAGAGTGTTGCTGCTGCTGCTGCTGCTGCCTCTGAATTGTTGCCTATTATTTGATCATTCTCTTGTGCCCTGAATGCGAATGCTCTCCTTCATCCTTATCCCCACAGTGCATGGTAACTGTATAAAATATGCTTATAACTGTAAAGCCTTTTTCTTAGCTTGTGTGCTCAAGACTTTTACGTGAAATCGATTTTCTATTTGTCTGCTGATGTCCTAGTTTCATCAAGTAATCTCTGCTCTGTATGTGGTATTAATGGATAATCGGGCCAAGGCCTAGTTTCGGGAATGGGTTCAAATTTTGCTATCTAATGAGTAATGAAGGCCCAGATCGGTGAACCGGGATATAGATTTGGGTAGTAATAGCAAGGGCCCAAACAAATTGCTACCCTAGCTTGGTTCTGATTTTTGGAAATCTTGTCACACAATCTATATACTTGAAATTTTTATTACACATAGGCATTTAAAGATTGTTAAACGTGTGTCTCTTGCTACAACTAAACGCGAACAAATTTGAGTGGAGCAATTTTTTTAGTGTTAATTACCTATAGAAACTGTCTGATCTGTCTGCCCATTTGGCGATAGAGATGGCTGTTGTCATCTAATTGGATTTTCTGGGTTGACCACAACTTGCGTTTTGAACCAACCCAAAGAACATGGGCTGCGTTCGACTTCCATTTGTTTGTAATGTTTTTGGGTCTCTGTCGTTTTGGCCCTTGAGGTTTTGAGACGACACTTTCCCCCTTCCACCTGGCCTCGGCAGGTCGTCAAGTTGCTTGCTTGTATCATTGTATCATTGTATCATTGTATCATTGTATCATTGTATCATTGTATCATTGTATCATTGTATCATTGTATCATTGTATCATTGTATCATTGTATCATTGTATCATTGTATCATTGTATCATTGTATCATTGTATCATTGTATCATTGTATCATTGTATCATTGTATCATTGTATCATTGTATCATTGTATCATTGTATCATTGTATCATTGTATCATTGTATCATTGTATCATTTGCTCCTTCCCAGTGACGGAAACTTTATTTTTTCAAATCGTACACCGAAAGCTCACGGGTCTGACTGAGCCCCTATCGGATCACTTCCAAATCCGAAGTACATAAATATGAAGCCGCACTTTCTGAGCTTGGGGAATAAGTCGGCATCAATAAAAAACCATATCCCTTGCATGGCTCCAAAAGCTCTTTCTGCTACAACCATATCCTCTTTTTTAAAAACATATTATGGCTCTCGACAGATACCTTCTGCCACCACTAAAATTAGAGACACAAATCCACACATGAGTTTGCTTAAACCTATATGAAGAACCTGGCCTCCTCCTCCATGTGACAACATGGGCGTGGACCCCGCACCCATATTCCTTCACATGACACACACTTTCCTCACCCGCCCCCTTATAAATACCCTCCTCCCTCCATGGCCAACTAAAAAGAAAAGGAGGAGGTAAAATAAAAGAGAGAAGCATTCATTTTCAATGGCTTCTCATCCATTTTTTTCAACCTTTCTATTCTCTCTCTGTATTCTTCGATCCATTTCAGGTATAATGACACAAACCCAACGAAACCCGTAAACCCATTCTCTGCTTTTTTGTTTTTTGTTTTTTGTTTTCACTCTGGAACATTTCTATAACGCTAGCTCATGCATTTTATGTGTTTGTGGACATTACAGGTGGGAATTCAGCAACGTTCACAATTACAAACAAGTGCAGCAACACAATTTGGCCGGGGATTCTATCAAATGCTGGGACGGACCAGCTTACCACCACCGGCTTCGCTCTCAACTCCGGGGAGTCCAACACGTTCTCCGTCCCCACCTCCTGGTCGGGTCGTTTATGGGGGCGGACTCTCTGCTCCCAAGACTCGACCACGGGCAAGTTCACGTGCCTAACTGGCGACTGTGGATC